ACTCGGGACGGAAAGCCGGTCCCGGGGAAGGGGTCCAGACCCAGTGAGGGCCACGTTGTGAGAAAAAACACGACGTCTGATATTCAATGAAAAATTTGCACGAACATCATCTTCCGGAGCGCCGAACATTTATGGATGTGCCGTGTTTTGTTTTTCCTAAAGGCGGAGGAGTCCCCGGCGTTTGAGCCGGTCCTGACGACTTTCCACACCGGGGCAATCTTGGGGATGGACGTCTGCACGAGGAAGCCCTTGGTGGTGACTTGTGGCGTGGACAAGTCCGTGCGCGTGTGGAACTACATCGAGAAGACGTGCGACCTCTGCAAGTTCTTCAATGAGGAGGCCTACAGTGTTGCCTTCCATCCCTCGGGCTTCCACCTCATCATCGGCTTTCAGGACAAGCTGAGGCTCATGAACCTCCTCATGGAAGACATGCGGACCTACAGGGACATCCCCATCAAGGCCTGCAAGGAGTGCCGGTTCAGTAACGGTGGCCAGCTCTTCGCGGCTGTTAGCTCGACCTCCGCGGCCCACCCGACGATCCAGGTGTACAAGACGTACACTTGCGAGCTTGTTGAGACGCTCCGAGGCCATAACAATAAGGTCCGGTCCATCGCATGGACGGCGGACGACTCCACGATCGTGTCAACGGGTGTCGACGGTGCTGTGTACGAGTACAACTTGCTGACCGAGGGGAGGCGTTCGCCGAACGACTTCGTCCTAAAGGGTACCACGTTCTCCTGCGTGATTGTGCACACGGACCCGTCCACGGGGTCGAACACGATGTATTGTGTCGGCAGCGACAAAACTCTCAAGGAGGTGTCCGGCGGCGTGTGCCACAACAGCGTGGAGTCGCAGCAGACCCTGGGCCAGATCGTGCTCGCCAATTCGGCCAAGGCGCTGTTCGCTGCAGTGGCCCAGCCCGACCAGCAGGCTCCAGTGCGCTGCTACAAGTTCCCGCTGGACGGCAACTACGTCGAGTACGCGTGCCACTCTGCCCAGTGCAACCGCATCCGCATTACATTCGACGACTACTATCTCTTCACCTGTTCCGACGACGGTTGTCTCTTCATCTTCGACGTCCGCAAGAAGGACCGGGTCGTCTCCAAGCGCGAAAAAGACAGTGCGTTGTCGTGGGCGGACGAGATACTGGTGACCAGGACCCACCTGGACGAGAAGCAGGCGCAACTGCAGGAGCTCGCTCGTCAGGTGGAGGAACTCTCCAACCAGATCGACTTCCAGCTCCGCCACAGGGAGAGCTACCACAAGGAGGAGATGTCGGAGCTCGAGGAGAAGTATACCCAGGAGATTGATCAGGAGCGCACCAAGCACGAGCTCCTGCGGGAAGAGAAGAATGACGCCGAGATGGAGGCAGAGGAGAACATCAAGAGCCTGATGGAGCTGCACGCGAAGCAGACGCAGGACCTGGAGGGCTCCTTCCAGCAGCAGATGATGCTGAAGGTGGCGGAGTACCAGGAGCTGCAGACGAGGCGCGAGAAGGCGCACAGGGAGTGGGAAAGGCAGCACGCCGAACTCATGGACAAGCACGCCAGGCAGGTTGCCGACATGCAGCGGGACTTCGGGGAGAAGCAGGCGCAGGACAAGGCGGCGATCCAGCGCATCATGGAGGAGAAGAAGCTGGCCGAGCGGGTGCACGAGGAGACCATGCGCCAGCTGGAGCAGGACCCAGGGGCAACGTTGGGTGGGGAGATGCTCAGAGGGGGGCGCATCGACCCCCAATCGCATGTATAGATTGCCGATGAGGGGTCCGATAGGCCACCCCGCCCAGGAGCGTGTGGACTCGATGTCGGGGCCCCATCGCCGATCTGGTTGGCGGCCATGCGTCGCCGATTCCAGCTCGATATTGCCCCCCCCCCCCCCCCCGAGCTGGTCCCCCCCCCAAGCGTCATGCACCCCTCGAGGACACGGACCGCGAGATCGAGGAGCTGAAGGACGAGAAGGAGGCCCGGCTCCAGGCCGAGCAGGCGGACAAGGTGCGTTTGCGCGGCCAGAGCGGCATCTCCAAGCGCCACCACGAGGAGCTCAAGCGGCAGATGCAGAAGAAGGAGGAGGAGCTGCGCCACCACATGGAGGAGGCGCGAAAGAAGCAGGAGGCCATAGACAAGCTGAAGAAGTCTGGCAAGGAGAACTTGAACGAGATCCGGGAGCGCGACAAGATGATCGAGCACAAGGAGGAGAAGATCTACGAGCTGAAGAAGCAGAACCAAGACCTCGAGAAGTTCAAGTTCGTGCTCGACTACAAGATCAAGGAGCTCAAGGCGCAGATCGACCCTAAGAATGACAGCATCGCCGAGATGAAGAGGCAGATACAGGCAATGGATGCGGATCTCGAGGATTACCACAGGAAGAACAAGCAGCTGCAGCTGAGCATCGAGCAGCTGCACGTAAAGCAGCGCACCCTCCAGGAAGAAGTCGTGTCGCAGAGGAAGAAGATGACAGACTGCCAAACAATTATAAAGAGGTTTAAGAACGATCTGCACGAGTGCGTGCAGTTCATCCAGGAGCCCAAGCAGCTCAAGGAGTCGGTAATGGGGCTGCACAAGAAGTACATGCCCAACGGCATAAAGAAGCAGGAGCTGGACGGCGACATCCAGCGCGAGTATAACCGGCAGCGGGAGTATCTGGAGAAGTCCGTGGAGAGTTTCAAGCGCAAGCTCATCAAGGACTCCGACGTCCACCGCCAGGACAACACGCGGATCCTCCAGGAGAACGTTGCCCTCATCAAGGAGATCAACGAGCTCCGCAAGGAGATAGACTTCCTCAAGTGGAAGCGGCAGCAGCAGAAGCTCAACGTCAACTCGGCCAAGGCCAAGGGCGGAGGCACCGCTGCGAAGTCCCTGAAGGACGCCGCAGATCCGATGGCCGCCACCGCCGAGATCGAGAGCAACGCAACTCAGATCATGGAGCTGAAGAAGCGTATCGAGGACACGCATCGGGGGCGGACGAGGAGGAGGAGGAGGAGGAGGAGGAGGAGGAGGAGGAGGAGGAGGAGGAGGAGGAGGAGGAGGGGGAGGGGGAGGGGGAGGGGGAGGGGGGCGGCGACGGGGGACGGGGGCAATGAGGCGTGGCGGATCGACGGCGGAAGGTGAGTGCCCTCACAGCGGGGGCCCCTCAAAACTGCCACAGCGGGCCTCAAAGGGTGCAGGGATGGTGCGCGCTTCTTCACCGATGCTTAGTCTACCCCAGACAGAGCAAACAAACAACACTCAGGAGGGGAAAACACACACAGACACAATTAATCGTCGATCCCCAGGAAAATATGCGAAAATATGGGAATTGGGGGGGAAGACAAAAACCCAGAAAATATGAGAAAATATGGGGAATAGTTTTATTTGTGTGTATATTTATTTGTGTGTTCTGGGGGCCCTTTAAACACACCTGCCCTTTCGGAGGTCCGCGCGGATTTCTGGGGGTCGGCGCCGTACCCCCCCACCAAGCGGCGCCTCTGGCGCCGCCCCTGGCACGCAGCGCGTCACGCAGGGGGTGGGGCGGCATCGCCGACCAGGGAAGTCCGCGCGAACCTCTGGCAGTCTTGGCCAGTGCAGCTCTATTCTCGTAGGCCTCTGTCGGGGCGTCGCCGACCTGGGAAGTTCGCGCGCACCTCTGGCAGTCTCGGTCTCTGCAGCCGGCTTTGCGGGCAAGGTTCTGTATACGTTGCACCCCGCAGTCGCGGAAAAGAGTGGGGGGGCGGCGGGGATGTTTGGTTTGCAGTCTGCGAGGCTCTCATGCGTTTAATTTTTACAAATTGTACAGCGAGCCCGCCGCAGGCGCCGATTTTTCGTTAAAGCAATGTGCGTGGGTCGCGGGGTGGGCCGCGGGTGGGTCGCGGATGTGGGTCGCGGATGTGGGTGGGTTGCGGGGTGGGTCGCAGGTGGGTCGTGGGTGGGTCGCGGGCGGGCGGGTCGCGGGGTGGGTCGCGGGGTGGGTCGCGGGTGGGTCTCGGGGTGGGTCGCGGGTGGTTCGCGGGTGCGTCACGGGCGGGTCGCGGGACGGGTCGCGGGTATGTCGCGGGCCGTGTCGCGGGGCGACGACGCCAAACATTAACACATAAAAAAATACCAGCAACAACAATAATAACAGCAGCAGCAGCAACAGCAGCAACAACAACAGCCGCAGCAGCAACACCACGACAACACCAACAATGCCAACGTTAACAACAACCACCACAACAACAAAAGCAACAACAACAACAACCACCACAACAACAGCAGCAACACCAACAACAATAATCCGCATCGCGGAATCCCACTTCAGCCACGTACCCAGGGACAGTGAATGACCGTTCGGCCCCCTGTGTGTACGTCCGGTGCGTCGTGGTCATTCTTTGAGCGGGCGCCAAAAGGCCGAGGCGCACTGGATGTGGGTAAACATGGAGCCTCTCCAGGTGGCAGACATTTTGTTCCCCACGTCCAGTGCGCCTCGGATTTCTGAGGAGGAGGAGGAGGAGGAGGAGAAGGAGGAGGAGGAGGAGGAGGAGGAGCTGCAATGGATATGGACCCAGACATGCCACGTCCTGATTTTTTCAGGACGGCGTCCGGAAGTCCGGACCCTTCTCCCGGGACCGGCTTTTTTCGTCCCGAGCTGTTTTTTTTTGTCCGACGCTCCCGAGGCCCGGCGAGGGCCCCCTTGGGGCCGACAGTAGCCAGAAATCTCCCGTCCTGGTTTCTCTGTACGACGCGCTCAGGTCTGGGGGCCCTCCCCCCCCAGCGATCCGGGGCAGGGGAAGCAAGGAGCGGCCGGCATCGGCACGATCTGCCAGGGAGATCCTCGATGCCTCCACCTCGAAACTCGACCTCCTCCTCCTCCTCCTCCTCCTCCTCCTGCCTCCTCCGTCCTCCTCTCCTCCCTTCCTCCTCCTCCTCCTCGACCTCCTCCTCGATCTCTCCTCTCCTCCTCCTCCTCCTCCTCCTCGAGCTCCTCCTCCTCCTGCTTCCCTTGCCGCTTCTGGTGGGGTCGGCGGCGCCTGGTGCCCCCTGAGGCGGCGTCCGGGGCCCGAAGCTCGGAGCTGCAGCGGGTATGGGCAGAAGCGTTGCCCGCGTCTCCCGGAGGAGCAGAGGCGCCTGCACGCCTCCTTCGCGGCGACGGCCGCGAGCCGGGACGGGCCTCTGGCCGCGGGGGCCGGCGCGGAGGGCGAGGCGTGAAGCAGCGTTTGCCCGCCAGCGGTGAGCGTGCCCCTCCTGCTCGACCCTCCATCCTCGATGCCTCCACCTCGAAACTCGACCTCCTCCTCCTCCTCGACCTCCTCCTCGATCTCCTCCTCCTCCTCCTCCTCCTCGAGCTCCTCCTCCTCCTGCTTCCCTTGCCGCCCCTTCTCGTCGCCGTCGTCCTCCCCCAGGCCCCCCTCGCGCCGTGAAGAAGCACGACGCGGGGTCGTTTGCCACTGAGGGCCTCCGGGGGCACTCGACTGAGGATGACAAGCCGGTCCTCCAGAGGCGACGATAGGGTTAAGTCGGGCCTGTTTCTCTACAGGAGGAGCATTCAAAAATAGTAAACACATAGTCTGGGGGCGATGTTTTGCTTATGTTTGCCCATGGCATGTTTCTAGTATGTTTGATGTTTCGCCCAAAATCCCCCTGTATGGGGACACGTCCGACTTAGCGATAGGGGCGACTAGCCCAGGGGAGGGCAATGCATGCATTCAGGTGCGCCAGTGATCTATGCCCTCGAAGAGGCTCCCGGGGGAGCGCGTGCAGTGCCCTCCCCATGGGCTATGCGCCCCTGTCGTTCCCGCCGGGCCCCCGGGGAGTCGGTCGAGATTTCTGGGGGTCGACGCCGTGGCAAGTCAACGTCGGGGGTCAGGGCCCCCCCTCCATCCATCCCTTCTCTCCTCCTCCTCCTCCGCCTCCTCCTCCTCCTCCTCCTCCTCCTCCTCCTTCTCCTCCCTCGCTCCTCCTCCTCCTCCTCCTCCTCCTCCTCCTCTCCTCCTCCTCCTCCTCCTCCTCCTCCTCCTCCTCCTCCTCCTCCTCCTTCCTCCTCCCCTCCCCCCCTCCTCCCCCTCCTCCTCCTCCTCCTCCTCCCCCCTCCTCCTCCTCCTTGTCTCCCTCCTCCTCCTCCTCCCCCTCCTCCTCCCCGCTGGCCGGATAGCAGTATTGATACTTTGTGGTTGCCCAAACCGCCCCCTCCTCCCCTCATCCCCACCTCATCCTCCTCCCCATCTACCTCCGCCTCCTTTCCTCCCCCTCGACCTCTACCCTTCTACAACTATGCAATCAGAGCACTGTATGGCATTATTCTATCTTGCGCCACGGTGTTCCCGATTCTTTCGCGCGTTGCAGAGTATTCCTACTGATGATGCTCCGCATGTGTTCTTGTCGATAGTGATAGTTTCGCTCCCTGCGGTACTCCAGCTGTAGCGTTGGCTACATTTCGAGATCAGTAGTTTGATTCCGTCGTTCAGATTCGCGCTCAAGCCCCAGCGCGGACCACATCTTTGAATCCGATCCGTTCCTCGTTGTTGCTACCCCCCTCCTTTCCCCTCTTCAGCCTTCCCCTGATCCCCTGCTCCTGCTACTCCTTCAGCTCGTCCTACTTCCTTATCCTCCTCTCCCTTGTCTAAACAGGATTCAACGACATGGGAATGGATGGGTCGGTGGGACAGAAAGTCGGATGTGTCGCGAGCGTAGCGTGCCTGTCTTCCTCTCTTTCCCTCACTCCACCGCCCCCTCCTCTTGCCCCTGCTCATCCTCCCCCTCCACCCCCTCCCCCTCGTTTCCCCCTCCCTTCCCTCCTCACCGTCCCCTTGCCTCCTTCTGTCTCCCTCCTCACCGCTCCCCCCCCCTCATCTCCGTCCTTCACTCCTCCTCCTCCTCCTCCTCCTCCTCCTCATCCTCCTCCTCCTCGTCCTCCCCCTCCTCGTCCTCCTCCTCCTCCTCCTCCTCCTCCCCGTCCTCCTCTTCTTCCTCCCTCCTCCTCCTCCGTCCCTCCCGTCCTCCCTCCTCCCCCTCCTTCCTGCTCGCCCTCCCTCACGCAGTGCAAACACGCAGTCCCGTCGTCCTCCCTCCTCCCTTCGTCCTTCTCCCTCCCTCCTCCCTCTTCCCTCCTCGGTCCTCCTCCTCCTCCTCTTCCTCCTCCACCTTCGTCTCCTCCACCTCCTCCTCATACCTTCTCCTCTTCCACCCCCACCTCATCCTCCTCCTCCTCCTCGTCCTCCTCCTCGTCCTCCTCCTCCTCCTCCTCCTCCTCCTCCTCCTCTTCCTTTTGCTTATAGATAACTCCCCCCTGTCGCACCCCGAGGCCGGTCGAAAGGGCGGGCCAGGCGTTTCGCTTGAGAGGTCCTCACCATTTATGGCCCTGAAGCTTAACACTGGCAACGCTTCACAGATCGAGGGCGGATTGTTTTCAACAAGAAGCTTTCGCTTGAGCGCCGCGCACATTCGTTATAAACAGTTGCAAGTTGCAAGAGTTTCACGGATTGAGGGCGGGTGGTTTTCAAATTATGGTTCTCCTTTGAGCGCCTCGCACCTTCGTCCCAATTATTTGCAAGAGTTTTGCGGATTGAGGGCGGGCCGTTTTCAAACTGTGGTTCTCGCTTTAGCGCCGCGCATTTCGTCTTAGCAATGTGCAAGAGCTTTTCGGATTGTGGAAGGTAGTTTTTCAAATTGTGGCTCTCGCCTTAGAGCGCCATGCAAATTTGTTTCAAACATGTGCGAGAAGAGCTTCATGCATTGAGGGCGGGCCGTTTCAACATGGTGGCTTTGGCCTCAGCGCCGCGCGCGCTCATAGACAAAACTTGCAAGAGCTTCGCGGATTGAGGGTGGCTCGTTTTCAACGTGTGGCTCTCGCCTTAGCACCGCGCACGCTCGCTTTTAGCATGAGCAAGGGTTTCTCGGATCCCCATGGTCAACCTACACGAAGTCGTATGTTTGAAGTAGTAAAGTTTGTGAGGGTGCAACCGTTACATTGATCCGCGGTGCGCGGTGTAGAAGTCCCAGGAATGTTTTTTTGTTTGCCACGTTTCGTGATCTTGCAACAGTCAGGTTCATCCGTGGCGTTGGAGGCCCGAGAATGGTGTTCTGGCATGCTTCAGGATCTTCAAACAGTTGTCTGCCAAAGAGGCAGTTCCTCCAGTAGAAGTGAACCCTTGTGGGGGCCTGAAAAGGGAGCATCATCGTTGATGGGTCTTGGGTTTGCCATGGTCCTCCTCGCCCTCCTCCTCCTCCTCCTCCTCCTCCTCCTCCTCCTCCTCTCATCTTCTTGTCCTTCTCCCTGCCCCAGTCCTCCCCTTCTTAGGCGCCCTCTCCTCCGACCATGTTCCCCCTCCCCGCCCCCGTTCACCCGCCCACGCCCTCCAATTTGGGCGAGGCCAAGGGGGCGGACGGACTGGCCCAGCGAGAGGGTACACTCGACCCTCTCTCTCTGTTTCACTGCGAGCCTGGCATCTCGGCCACCTTCACTGGCGAAGCGCTGAAACGATCATCCGTCTCCTCTCCTCCCCCTCCTCCTCCTCCTCCTCCTTCTTCTCTTCCTCCCCATCCTCCTCCCTCCTGCTCTTTTCTCTCGACCTCCTCCTCCTCATCATCACCACCCTCCTCATCATCACCACCAGCATGATCAGTATCATCCCGGCTCCTCCTCCTCCTCCGCCATCCCCCCTCCTCCTCCTTCTCCTTCTCCTTCTCCTTCTTCTCCTTCTCCCTCCTCCTTCTCCTTCTCCTTCTCCTCTTTCTCCTCCTCCTCCTCCTCCTCCTTCACCTTTCCCTCCTGCTTTCTCCTCCTTCTCTTCCTCCTCGTCCTCCTCCTCCTTCTCCTCCTCTCCCTCCTCCTCCTCCTCCTCCCCTCCTCCTCCTCCCCCTCCTCTCCTCCTCCTCCTCCTACTCCTCCTCCTCCTCCTCCTCCTCCTCCTCCTCCTCCTCCTCCTCCTCCCAGCCGCTGGAACTCCCCGCTGACCCCCGCCCCCGCTGCCGGCGCAGGTGCCCCGCCTAGCTGGGCCTTTCCCCCCCCGCATCCCCGCGCTGCGCCATACGGCCGCAACCGACGGGGAGGACGGATAGCCCCCCAAGGGTCTCGCGGGTGGTAGTGGGCCCTCTTTTCTCGGGTGAGGAAGAGGTTCAAGCAGTGGCGAATCGTCTTGGCTCGCCTAAGAGGCCCACCAAAGCGTGTTCTCAGGACATGTTGTGGCCTGCGCGAGATGCTCTCAGAGCATCTCTGGCTGATATTTGTTTTTTCTGACACATCGGGCCTGTGTTCTAAGAACATTCGTTTTGTTCTTAGAACATTTTGGGGTTCTAAGAACATGTCGTGGTAGGCCTATAGGAATGCCGGGATGGTCGGTCCCTCGTCAAAATACTGCTAGCCTTCGCTCGTTTTCCTCTTTTTGGGCCTCCTGGGAGGCCCTCGTCGCCACAGCTGGATTGCTGAGGCCTCACGGCCGGTGCCGCCGACCCTGGATGCCTCGGGCCTCGACGGAAATGGGAGGGAGAGGGCGGGCCATGGGCCCCAGGAGGGTGGTATTTGATTCAGAGGCGACATTGCGAATCCGGGAGGGCGATGTATCTGACCGAGAATCCAAAGGAGGGCGGCGTATCTGACCCAGGACCCCCCTCGCTAACCCCCCTCGCTACCCCCCCTCGCTACCCCTCCGGGACCCCCCCCCCGCGCGGGGAAGGGAAGAAAGGGAAGGGGGTTTCCTCTGACCGAGGATCCCCAGGAGGGCGGCGTATCTGACCCAGGACCCCCCTCGCTACCCCCCCTCGCTACCCCCCCCGCCCCTCCCCCCCCCAGGACCCCCCCCCCCCCGCGCGGGGAAGGGAAGAAAGGGAAGGGGCTTCCCCTTGATTCAGAGACGACGAGGAAAAGGAACGGGACCCCCCCCCCTTCCTCGCGCGGGGAAGGGAAGAAAGGGAAGGGGCTTCCTTTTGATTCAGAGACGACGAGGAAAAGGAAAGGGCAAACAACGACGACGCTGCAGGGAAACGGGACAAAGGAACGACGAGGAAGAAGCAGCAAACAACAACGCCTCTTCCACACGCCGACAGGGTCGGCGGATCTGCCCCGAAATTCTGCTTCGAACGCACCCCGGGAGAGGCCCGGGGAGTAGCGGCATCGGTCCTTTTTGATTTCCACGCCTTCGCCCGACCCGAACCTGCCCGCCTCTGTGCCAGACCTCCGTCGGATGGGGTTGTTCGGTCCGAGTTTTCG